ATGCAATTAAGTAGCGAGAAAAATATTAGATTTGAACTTAATTGAAGGAAAAGATAATGATCTACATAAAATAAATATTATTATTTTTATTATTTAATTTATATGTGAAATTTTCTGTAAATAATTTGAAAATAGAAGGGAAAAAGAATCGGTTAAGAAATTTTATTCCTCGGAAACTTAAGCAAGCTTCAGGCTTCTTTGTTGACTTTTACTTTTTTGGTGGGAATAAGATTACATCTGATTCAGCTAAAAAAAATCGTATGATATTTTACGTCACGAGAGTTATAGATGGGTGACAAAGCAGTAATTCCGTAATGAAAGAACTAACAACATTATTCACTAGCCGCTGTAGCAGAAAGTGATTGGTCTTCTACGTTTGCAAATGAATACGAATGTTGATATTCTCACGGGATTTGCTACTTATGTCAGAATTTATCTAAAGATTAGTCATAAATCTCCGATGTAAAGTTTTCCAAACGAATATTTTAATATTCATAGGATGATTAGAAATTGAAGTTTTGATGATACTGCCATTTTATACTTATTCTAAGTACCCACAACTTTTGATCTTACTTCTCTGATATTATTTGATCATTAAAAGCCATAATGTCTTAGTGATATTAGTTTTTAGGGAACTCGTTTGGTTATAAAATCATTTAAAAACTTTCTTTCTTTCTTCGTATGAGCCATAATGGTTCAAAATCGATACCTGTTACTAGGAGAAATTTTTTTATATTTCTAAATAAATATTATTTATATATGTTTAAAAATAGTTTATATCCATCTCTCTTAGTCATTGAGTTATAAATGTAATTTATAAATATTAAATTTTTTAAAAAGTATTTTTGATCACGATGACGTATCTAAGCAACAGAACTTTATAAGGTTTATTATATTATGTAATATTTCGAATTTTTATCCCTTATAAATTTTCAAATCACGCATGCTTTTTTTCTATTTTATATATTAAATTCCCACTGAATGTAAATTAGGAATCTGCCCCTTTGCTTTCTAGTTTATGTGTGTGTTGCATACTACATAAGTAAAATTTTACGATTTTTGGCACGCAAACTTCTTTTCGATGGGTAGAATAATATGACATCAACAAAATAGGGCAAGGTTACTTCCAATTATGGGGATATTGCATGACACATACACCATGGTTCATATCGCTTTCGACTGTTATTCAAAATGCGACAGAATAACTTATTGGGCTATATAAATGATAGATCAGCAAATATATTTATTCTAATGGGAGATACACTTTGAAAATTAGATTCATACTATTCAGTTTAAATATATATAATAAAGTTATTGCACTTTATATTACGTTCGAAATTTCCGCACTAATTATAATAGTAAACTCAGATTAATCACTCGGACAAATTAGTATTAGAAAATGCTATTTGACAACTAGATAATAAAGTACTTTAAAGTGAAGTGAGGATGACCCAAATTGATCCACTCGAACGATTGAGGCAAGAATTAATTGGTGACGAGACATTGAGGTCAATCACAAGTTTCTTTCAAGAAGAAACCGTTCGTTTTCCCGAAATAAATTAGTATTGTTCAAAAATAAATCATTTATTTTAGATTAAAAATAAGTATTTGTCTATCAATAAAAATATATCAGGCTTTAATAAAGAATAATTTATTACATCTTAGTCGTTTTGAATCGAACAAACTTTCTAATAGAAGATAAACGTTTACTGTACAGTACGTGTTTATCATTACAATATGAATAGGATTTCATTGCTTTTGTTTAAAGATTGCAGATTATAGATTTCGATATTCGAACTGATATTTGTTGTTTGGATTGCATCCAATGCGATATCTGCTAACGCTTAAAGTTTCAGAAAGTGGAAGATTATTATAGATTTTCATAGTAAAATACTTAATCAAACAATAAATCTTCAAGAAATTTTGAATCGCATCCAAACGAAATTTATTTATAACTATATAAATTATATGGTATTTAGAAGTTCTAAATTAAGTTTCTCTCACTTCCTAAAACCCTGAAAATTTCATATAAAGATTTAAAAAGAAGCTTTCTTTTAAATGCAGTTATATATATTGTATATAATTATGCTCATTTCATCGATATACATGTATATATGTGATTTTGCTACTAATAGGAAATTAGGAAATTAAATGTGACTTCTATGTTGTGTAGATTTGTTCTAACAATAAATAGCAACGTTGGAATTATCACAGGAAAGGAGTATAACTTAGTTTGCGAAATTGTCAGTTTAATTAGTCCAAAATAATTAACTAGTTTGTATAATAATGTAGAAATTATTAAAATATTCTATTAAAATGATTACACGGAAAATATATTTCCAGATAAAATATAAACCTTTTTAATTGTGAAGGTATTATGTTAGATACAAAATATTTAAAGTAGATACATAGATAATCGAACAGAGAATATTTTAGGAACTTTTTCTTACAGATTACAACTGAAAATAAATTTGATATAATAGGAAACCCATATGTTATAATAAAATGATCATTTTTTTCTTCCAATATATCTTGTAAAATACGAAAAACTTTTATTGAGTAGATCTGTTATATACTGCAGTTATTTATAAACAGAACTGTATTAAAATTCTGCATTACAATTATCAAAAATTATGTTCATTTTTAATCTTCAGCGAAAGATTTTCATGGTTAATTTACTCGATTTAAAAGTTCTATAATTATTTTTATATATATAGGGGAGACCGGGGCAAGATCGGCATGTTAAGCTTTACTTAAATTTTGTGTAATAAATACTGCTGTAAACTAAAAAAAAAAGCTTTGCATATTGTCTATTGGAATGTTTTCTTACTATAGAACTGGTTAAAATCAGTTTGGAAATAAAAATAATTAAAATAATTACAACTTTACAAGAAGAGAGAAATTGACGAAGTTGCCCCGGGTATAGGGGCAAGATCGGCAACTTCTCTCTTTTTGTAAAGTTGTAATTATTTTAATTATTTTTATTAAAGTTGCCCCTGGTATAGGGGCAACAGTAATGGGGCAAGATAGGCACGTATATAAAATTATGTTATTAACAATGTATAAGTTGGAATTCACTATTAAAACAAAGAAATACAAATCCAACACCCATTTAATATTATTACAACGAAATGCAAGTTCAAAGACATATATACATGAATAACAAATGCAAACATGTTTTCATTTATCATCTGTTTGATTTTTATCCTTTGCTTCTAATGTGGCTTTATGTTGCCGATCTTACCCCGCTAGTCATGATTTCGAAACATTAAGTACAACCCTGAGAACAGAATGCCAAGCCACGATCTGGCCACGTGAATAAGTTGAAGTTACATCCTTCTAACAGGAAAAGTAACTTTCGTTATCATGGAATTATAACAAAACCTGCCAATTCAATATAAATGGAAAAAAAATATTATATGGAATTGAACGAAAATGAAAATTTGCTTGATAATTCAACTACGCTTGTTGGAGAACAATAAAAACACTACACTCAACAAGCCACCAATAAAACTCAACTGCCTAACCTATAACCAAAGTCTCCTTTTAATTTGTTTTTAAAAAAAAGCGCTTGACAAACTTGCCCCGCATGCCGAAGTTGCCCCGGTCTCCCATATATATATTAATCTAGGGAGCTTCGTCCATTTCTTCAAACATTTTCTGTTGATTAATTGATTCTCGGTGTCGCCATTTCTAATTTTTCTTTTTTTTTCTTTTTCTTGACGAAAAAAGTGTCGTGACGATTTTAAGTATTTTATATATAGGTTATATAGAGTATATTTACAATTACAATCAATATATTTATTTTAAACTAGAATATCATATAAATTATATTGATTAAATAATTTTTTTAATATTTTATATCACTTTGTATATGTTTGAATCTACCATAACTTTCAACTTTTTAAAATTAACGTTGATCATACATACAGTAGATAAATTTCCATTATAATTACAATCCCTAAACTAGGGTTAAAACCTTTTTCCTTAATGCTTATATCACTTCTATAACGTATGTTTTTCTTCTATTCTATGTAGAATATAAATAACTATAAAACGAGGAATGATTTCTATTTATAGTCTATATGATATTTACTTGTATTCAATTTATGTTATATGTAATTACCTTACAAGTTAAAAAACATTTACTAAGATATTGTATTGTATTGAAAGAAATAATTGATAATATTCATTTAATATATGACTATTGATTAAATAAAATGTTAATGATAATGTAGTAATACATGACATTATAGAATTTTAATTTCAAATATAAATTTGAAATTAAAATTAAAATTTATTTTTGAATTTTAATTTCAAAAATAAAATTCAAAAATAAATTCAAAAATAAATCAAAAATAAATTCAAAAATAAAATTCAAAAATAAAACAAGCTCTTACATCCTAAGAGCTTGTTTATTTGCAAGCTCTTAGGATGTAATGACTGATTTATATTGTTTATCTAATCAAATTGTAATAATTGTTGATCTCTCGATATTTAGATATGATAATTTATATTGTAAATTATAAAGATTTTAACTATATTAAAATATATAAACTTATTATCGTTTATAATAAGTTACATAAACTTGTACAAAGATAATTACAAAATTCCTACATTTTGAAAAAAATAAAATGGAATTTTATTGGTGAAAAATAATAATATTAATTTACTTTTAATGTTAAAAATTAAATGTCTTTAATTTTATTATTTAAAAGTTTAAATGCAAAGAACGTCTTATTAATATAGAAATTACGTAAATAAATATTTTTAAAATAATGGAAATCTTATTAATTAGTAATTAAAATTAATTAAAAATGCTCGTTTTAAATGACTTTTTATTTATTTCAATTACTATGCATATTCATTAATTATATTGTATTTCAAGAGTTAATAATTTGTAAAGCTATTAAGTAATAAATTACTTGTCAAACTATAAATAACAAGATTGGATTATAACAAAATTGCTTCTTACTTTTTTTTTCTTATGAAATGTTTAGGTTCTATTGGGACCTCTGTATGCTTCTCCTACTTGTAGCTAACCTCATCATCCTTCCCGTGGCGATTTCTTTCTTCAATGACGATTTGTCTGCGAGATGGATAGCCTTCAATTGTTTGTCAGATACCATCTTTCTCTTAGACATTGTCGTCAACTTTAGAACGGGTGAGTAAAATAACTTAAGACAAATTTACTTGCATCACTTTCTAAATTTCTTCGTTATTGTCATCGTAGCTAAAATTTATGACAGACTTGCCAAGTTTCGACACTAACATTATTTATTTATCTTTTTTTTTTTTAAATTGCAAATTTCGTTACCTTTTTGTTGTCTTGTTTAATAAATTTTAAGAATTTGTTTATTGAAATTTAATTTTTTTCAATGTTTATTTTCTCAAAATAATAATTTTAGCGTATAAAATTGAGACATTTTAAATTCATAAACACTACAACTTTCGATTTATGAACCAATACATGGTAAATGATGATAAAATACATGTCAAATTTACGAAGAAATTATCTAGAAGTTGTTATAGCATAATTAACATCCACGTCAATATTTGTCAACTGTGACAGGTCAAAGTTAAAAATCGTTAAACATTGCAATGTTTTCCTGTGTAAAGTACCTGTAAAGGAACTTCTTATAGTCAAAAGTAATTCTACTCAGTTTTCATCCATCACATAGATCCCAAGGGTGTCAACACGGACGTCTTTCTCGTGTTCTTATTGACGCATCTAACCATACATTTCTGGATCTTTTGTTTGTTGAAAGACATAAAGAAAATTGGCAAAAGAAAGAAATAAAACCACTATAAATTCAATTGAAATCGCATTTCCTTTAAATCGGTTGCTGTTATGATATATTTGAGGTTTCTCTGTCTTGATATTACGAGATTTATTTAAAACATCAACGAATGATTCAAGAATCTCTTTATCAATCCTCTTCTATCTGAATTTTGAAGAATATTAAACTTGAATTTGTTTGTTGTCATGTAAATTTCAAAATATTTAACGTATTTAAATAGAGATTTTTTAAAGTTAATTTATTGTTTGAAATAAATATTATTACGAGAATCTCTCGCAGTTATCTTGTAAAAAGTGCACTTCGAAAAATGCATTCTAAATTGATTTTATTGTAAATATTTTAAGTATAAAAATGATAAAATTATCATTTTATAAATTACAAAAGATGTATGAATTATTAAAGACATAAAATAATGATAAATTGAATATAATCATACATTTTAAACTATATCAATTTATATGTCGTAAAACGATAAATAAACATAAAGAATTATAAGTATCATTTATAAAAATAAAATATCTAAAATTCTGTATCTTATACCTTGCCAGCTACACAATGCTGATAAAATAAGCTGGTCGTTCTGTTTCTAATTTAAGAATTTTCTAACTTTTTTATCTTATAATATTCTTTTCCTTTTAAAGCAGATTTCTATCATTCAAAATCCGAACGTATAAAGTTTAACGAGATAAAACTGTGCTGTATCTAAATTGTTCGCTAAAAGGCAGACTTTGAGAAGTACCGTCAATATGGTTGCTGTTAAGGATAATTTTACTGATAAAAATACTTTTCAATAAATTACGGTATATTCATTGGAAAATAAAAATCAATTTTGTACACGGCAAAAGAAAGTTTGCTAGTGGGTAGATGTTATGCTAATAAAATATGTTTATATAAAATGTATAGCCAATATAATCATATTTTCGATGCTGTTTTTCGTGACTTTCTTAAATGAGTATTCGATGTGGTCGTAAAGGAACTGAAACGATAAGTGACCTATGGGTGATGACGTCAAACCAACGATCTTCTATTGTGACGATGTCCTTGTTGAAAACTTAATGGGAATCTGATGGAAGGCCGACATATTTTTTGACTTATTATTTTTATCGTGATGATGTTCAACAGACTCAAAAACTCCCTTTCTGATGAACAAGAATGACTTCTTTGCTATGATAAGCTACGACCTCCTTACAGTTTCGATACTAAAGTGCCAGACTCTTCTCTATATTTCCTATGTTTTTTTTTATATTAAAGGTAATGAGCGTTTTTATGTGTGCGTATTATTCTTTACTTACCTGTATGAATATTCTTCTGTGAGCATTCGAGAAAAATTTACGATCCGTTAGTTTTGAAAGTATAAGACATTAATCCGCATTTTGTAAAATAATACCTTATCAAAATAACCACAAAGAAGCCTTTTATTAGTCTCTAATAATAATTTATGACAAAAATTTACGGTTGAGCTTTTAGTTGTTAATAATGAATTTTTATTTTTACAGGTATTATGCAGCAAGACAATTCCGAGCAAGTGATATTGGATCCTAAACTTATAGCTAAACATTATGTGAGGACGTGGTTTTTCCTGGATTTGATAAGCTCTATACCTCTGGACTACATCTTCCTTATCTTTCAGCAGGACTACAGTGATAACTTTCAACTCCTTCATGCAGGAAGGGCGTTGCGTATCCTACGGTTTGCAAAAATGCTCAGTTTATTACGCCTGCTTAGATTATCTCGGCTTGTGCGTTATGTCAGTCAATGGGAAGAAGTATATGTAAGTATCAACGATAACATACATCTACATTTAAAAGTTTTCAAGGTATCAGAACGGCTTCTGGTGGTAATATCGAGTGAAAGAAGGATTAGGAAAATATCTCATATTAGAAAAAAAAATCCATCTTTCAAATCAAATTTATAAAATTAGCTTTTGGATTTTAAATTATATAAGATTAATAACACCTTAGGTCTTAATTTAGGAATAATATTCTCATTTCTTATGCATCATTTTATTCACTTTTTCTTTAGTTTAATTGATCCTATTTTTAACATGCTCACAATTTAATAATTTATTTTTATTGAAAAAATTCAATTCAAAAATTTTTATATTAAAAGTAATTTAAATAAACTATAAACGAAGAAAAAGGTTTATTTAAATTAAATAAAATTGAATTCTGTTGATAGCTTTCATTTTAGCAATAGGAAAATTAATATGAGAAAAATTCATAATTTTTTGCATCTGTGACTAATATTTGATTTTTTTATTGTTAATTTTTTGTATTATTTCAAACAATTTGAGTAAACTTCTCTACGATTTTCGAATTCTGAAATTTGATTTTATGTATTCTAATAATCTAACAGATGTTATGGAAATTAAAATAAATGACTCCAGACTCCACGAAAGTTCATAAATGAAAAGTATTTTATTATAAGCTGTACTAAAAGTTGGACATCTGTAGTGGCTTTATACATATTTTTCTTAAATTCCTTAACATTGTTAGCAGGAAAAAACTAAACACTAAACCTATCACTAAAAAAAATCATTAAAAAACACTAATTAATTAACGAAACAAGTCTAGTAAAAACTTCTGCTTAAGCTGTAATTTAAAATAATAATAATAAATTAATTTTTTAATTTAGAATTTCTTGAAGAAAAGAATCAACCCAAAGTGTAACTCGGACCCACAATTCCTGCTTACTGTGCAGATGCNTGAACGGATTTTATTTTCTTGAATAATTTACAGACAGAATCATAATTTTTTTCCTCGTAAAATCGCTTCTAGGCATCATTTTGACAGGAAAATGGAGAGAAAATTAAGTGATGTTATTGGAAAACAAATGAATAATTCTTTAAAGTTTCGCTACCAACTACTCTCTAATTCCCCAAACAACGTATTTATTATTTAGTAAACCAGAAAGATTCGGCATTATATCATTGTTACTTAATGTGGTTTATGATTTTAAAGTCTTATAATCAATCGATTAATTTTGAGATGAAATAGATTCTTATTGAAAAAAACTTTAAAAAAAATCTTATTAAAAATATCAACTGGTTTGAATTTAAAATTTTAAATTTATTAGGAGATTTAATAATATACGAGTAACTTATAGAATTTGGATAGATTTATTCTACATTCAAGAAAACATTTGTCACATAATTCACTTGCATTATTCTCAAAAGTGGAATAAGTGTAATGTCTCGTAGGATTATCCACCTTCAACATTCGATAAGAAACACCGAATTTGTTTTTTGTTGTTCTATTTTCTGCACTCTTCAAATAGAAAGTGCTTATAGCAACTCTGATAAATTGATAATCTACTGGTAAACATTCCTCTCTGTTTATTTTTATGATAAGTTTTTATATATTAAAAAAAAAATTGTTTGAGTTTTATTTTTACGTTATAAATATAATAGGCTCTCTTAAAATTATATTTATTTACATTTATTTGTTATTATAAAGTTATAATTTTCATGAAGAAAACAAAAAACAAAAAGAACTCTACGAATTCTTACTGTTATAAGCAAAAAGAATTGTTTCACCATAGAATTAATCAGAGTAAATATTCTTAAATTCTCTCAGTTTTAATTAAATATAGATGCAAATTCCTGATAGGAGTGTTTAAACTCTTGTTCGGGAACTTTACTAATAGTGCCTTAAGAAATATTTGATGTCAATGCAGATTTTTCTGTGGAAACGAATCATACCAATAGTCAAGTTTCATTTGTTTATAGTCAACAGCACATCTCGATTAGTTTGCATAAATAATGAAACTATTTTCAATTTTGTTGATATTATACATCTGCAATATATATTTTACAGTTATTTTAGCCAAGATGAAACTTTTTTAATTATATAAATTATTTTTGTTTCGGTTCAAGGTTAAGATATTTAAGTTCTAATCGATCAATAACAAGGAATTCAATAGAAGATAAAAAAAATGTCAAACTAAAACAAGAGATGGTAAATCATTTCCTGTAAAACGTGACAAAGAAAATCACCAAAATAACTTACAAGTAACTCTGTGGGATCTAGATAAGGGCCGTATTTAAGATAGAAAAAGAACAACTATCCTGAAGGGAAAACAAGTCTTTTCTTCTTTAGCGAATGAATGCAATATTATTGAAGATATCGATTGCTTGAAACGTCGATAACTTAGAAGTTGACTTTACAANCAACTTTTTAAAATTAACGTTGATCATACATACAGTAGATAAATTTCCATTATAATTACAATCCCTAAACTAGGGTTAAAACCTTTTTCCTTAATGCTTATATCACTTCTATAACGTATGTTTTTCTTCTATTCTATGTAGAATATAAATAACTATAAAACGAGGAATGATTTCTATTTATAGTCTATATGATATTTACTTGTATTCAATTTATGTTATATGTAATTACCTTACAAGTTAAAAAACATTTACTAAGATATTGTATTGTATTGAAAGAAATAATTGATAATATTCATTTAATATATGACTATTGATTAAATAAAATGTTAATGATAATGTAGTAATACATGACATTATAGAATTTTAATTTCAAATATAAATTTGAAATTAAAATTAAAATTTATTTTTGAATTTTAATTTCAAAAATAAAATTCAAAAATAAATTCAAAAATAAATCAAAAATAAATTCAAAAATAAAATTCAAAAATAAAACAAGCTCTTACATCCTAAGAGCTTGTTTATTTGCAAGCTCTTAGGATGTAATGACTGATTTATATTGTTTATCTAATCAAATTGTAATAATTGTTGATCTCTCGATATTTAGATATGATAATTTATATTGTAAATTATAAAGATTTTAACTATATTAAAATATATAAACTTATTATCGTTTATAATAAGTTACATAAACTTGTACAAAGATAATTACAAAATTCCTACATTTTGAAAAAAATAAAATGGAATTTTATTGGTGAAAAATAATAATATTAATTTACTTTTAATGTTAAAAATTAAATGTCTTTAATTTTATTATTTAAAAGTTTAAATGCAAAGAACGTCTTATTAATATAGAAATTACGTAAATAAATATTTTTAAAATAATGGAAATCTTATTAATTAGTAATTAAAATTAATTAAAAATGCTCGTTTTAAATGACTTTTTATTTATTTCAATTACTATGCATATTCATTAATTATATTGTATTTCAAGAGTTAATAATTTGTAAAGCTATTAAGTAATAAATTACTTGTCAAACTATAAATAACAAGATTGGATTATAACAAAATTGCTTCTTACTTTTTTTTTCTTATGAAATGTTTAGGTTCTATTGGGACCTCTGTATGCTTCTCCTACTTGTAGCTAACCTCATCATCCTTCCCGTGGCGATTTCTTTCTTCAATGACGATTTGTCTGCGAGATGGATAGCCTTCAATTGTTTGTCAGATACCATCTTTCTCTTAGACATTGTCGTCAACTTTAGAACGGGTGAGTAAAATAACTTAAGACAAATTTACTTGCATCACTTTCTAAATTTCTTCGTTATTGTCATCGTAGCTAAAATTTATGACAGACTTGCCAAGTTTCGACACTAACATTATTTATTTATCTTTTTTTTTTTTAAATTGCAAATTTCGTTACCTTTTTGTTGTCTTGTTTAATAAATTTTAAGAATTTGTTTATTGAAATTTAATTTTTTTCAATGTTTATTTTCTCAAAATAATAATTTTAGCGTATAAAATTGAGACATTTTAAATTCATAAACACTACAACTTTCGATTTATGAACCAATACATGGTAAATGATGATAAAATACATGTCAAATTTACGAAGAAATTATCTAGAAGTTGTTATAGCATAATTAACATCCACGTCAATATTTGTCAACTGTGACAGGTCAAAGTTAAAAATCGTTAAACATTGCAATGTTTTCCTGTGTAAAGTACCTGTAAAGGAACTTCTTATAGTCAAAAGTAATTCTACTCAGTTTTCATCCATCACATAGATCCCAAGGGTGTCAACACGGACGTCTTTCTCGTGTTCTTATTGACGCATCTAACCATACATTTCTGGATCTTTTGTTTGTTGAAAGACATAAAGAAAATTGGCAAAAGAAAGAAATAAAACCACTATAAATTCAATTGAAATCGCATTTCCTTTAAATCGGTTGCTGTTATGATATATTTGAGGTTTCTCTGTCTTGATATTACGAGATTTATTTAAAACATCAACGAATGATTCAAGAATCTCTTTATCAATCCTCTTCTATCTGAATTTTGAAGAATATTAAACTTGAATTTGTTTGTTGTCATGTAAATTTCAAAATATTTAACGTATTTAAATAGAGATTTTTTAAAGTTAATTTATTGTTTGAAATAAATATTATTACGAGAATCTCTCGCAGTTATCTTGTAAAAAGTGCACTTCGAAAAATGCATTCTAAATTGATTTTATTGTAAATATTTTAAGTATAAAAATGATAAAATTATCATTTTATAAATTACAAAAGATGTATGAATTATTAAAGACATAAAATAATGATAAATTGAATATAATCATACATTTTAAACTATATCAATTTATATGTCGTAAAACGATAAATAAACATAAAGAATTATAAGTATCATTTATAAAAATAAAATATCTAAAATTCTGTATCTTATACCTTGCCAGCTACACAATGCTGATAAAATAAGCTGGTCGTTCTGTTTCTAATTTAAGAATTTTCTAACTTTTTTATCTTATAATATTCTTTTCCTTTTAAAGCAGATTTCTATCATTCAAAATCCGAACGTATAAAGTTTAACGAGATAAAACTGTGCTGTATCTAAATTGTTCGCTAAAAGGCAGACTTTGAGAAGTACCGTCAATATGGTTGCTGTTAAGGATAATTTTACTGATAAAAATACTTTTCAATAAATTACGGTATATTCATTGGAAAATAAAAATCAATTTTGTACACGGCAAAAGAAAGTTTGCTAGTGGGTAGATGTTATGCTAATAAAATATGTTTATATAAAATGTATAGCCAATATAATCATATTTTCGATGCTGTTTTTCGTGACTTTCTTAAATGAGTATTCGATGTGGTCGTAAAGGAACTGAAACGATAAGTGACCTATGGGTGATGACGTCAAACCAACGATCTTCTATTGTGACGATGTCCTTGTTGAAAACTTAATGGGAATCTGATGGAAGGCCGACATATTTTTTGACTTATTATTTTTATCGTGATGATGTTCAACAGACTCAAAAACTCCCTTTCTGATGAACAAGAATGACTTCTTTGCTATGATAAGCTACGACCTCCTTACAGTTTCGATACTAAAGTGCCAGACTCTTCTCTATATTTCCTATGTTTTTTTTTTATATTAAAGGTAATGAGCGTTTTTATGTGTGCGTATTATTCTTTACTTACCTGTATGAATATTCTTCTGTGAGCATTCGAGAAAAATTTACGATCCGTTAGTTTTGAAAGTATAAGACATTAATCCGCATTTTGTAAAATAATACCTTATCAAAATAACCACAAAGAAGCCTTTTATTAGTCTCTAATAATAATTTATGACAAAAATTTACGGTTGAGCTTTTAGTTGTTAATAATGAATTTTTATTTTTACAGGTATTATGCAGCAAGACAATTCCGAGCAAGTGATATTGGATCCTAAACTTATAGCTAAACATTATGTGAGGACGTGGTTTTTCCTGGATTTGATAAGCTCTATACCTCTGGACTACATCTTCCTTATCTTTCAGCAGGACTACAGTGATAACTTTCAACTCCTTCATGCAGGAAGGGCGTTGCGTATCCTACGGTTTGCAAAAATGCTCAGTTTATTACGCCTGCTTAGATTATCTCGGCTTGTGCGTTATGTCAGTCAATGGGAAGAAGTATATGTAAGTATCAACGATAACATACATCTACATTTAAAAGTTTTCAAGGTATCAGAACGGCTTCTGGTGGTAATATCGAGTGAAAGAAGGATTAGGAAAATATCTCATATTAGAAAAAAAAATCCATCTTTCAAATCAAATTTATAAAATTAGCTTTTGGATTTTAAATTATATAAGATTAATAACACCTTAGGTCTTAATTTAGGAATAATATTCTCATTTCTTATGCATCATTTTATTCACTTTTTCTTTAGTTTAATTGATCCTATTTTTAACATGCTCACAATTTAATAATTTATTTTTATTGAAAAAATTCAATTCAAAAATTTTTATATTAAAAGTAATTTAAATAAACTATAAACGAAGAAAAAGGTTTATTTAAATTAAATAAAATTGAATTCTGTTGATAGCTTTCATTTTAGCAATAGGAAAATTAATATGAGAAAAATTCATAATTTTTTGCATCTGTGACTAATATTTGATTTTTTTATTGTTAATTTTTTGTATTATTTCAAACAATTTGAGTAAACTTCTCTACGATTTTCGAATTCTGAAATTTGATTTTATGTATTCTAATAATCTAACAGATGTTATGGAAATTAAAATAAATGACTCCAGACTCCACGAAAGTTCATAAATGAAAAGTATTTTATTATAAGCTGTACTAAAAGTTGGACATCTGTAGTGGCTTTATACATATTTTTCTTAAATTCCTTAACATTGTTAGCAGGAAAAAACTAAACACTAAACCTATCACTAAAAAAAATCATTAAAAAACACTAATTAATTAACGAAACAAGTCTAGTAAAAACTTCTGCTTAAGCTGTAATTTAAAATAATAATAATAAATAAGAGTTAAAATTCTTTGTGAACGGATTTTATTTTCTTGAATAATTTACAGACAGAATCATAATTTTTTTCCTCGTAAAATCGCTTCTAGGCATCATTTTGACAGGAAAATGGAGAGAAAATTAAGTGATGTTATTGGAAAACAAATGAATAATTCTTTAAAGTTTCGCTACCAACTACTCTCTAATTCCCCAAACAACGTATTTATTATTTAGTAAACCAGAAAGATTCGGCATTATATCATTGTTACTTAATGTGGTTTATGATTTTAAAGTCTTATAATCAATCGATTAATTTTGAGATGAAATAGATTCTTATTGAAAAAAACTTTAAAAAAAATCTTATTAAAAATATCAACTGGTTTGAATTTAAAATTTTAAATTTATTAGGAGATTTAATAATATACGAGTAACTTATAGAATTTGGATAGATTTATTCTACATTCAAGAAAACATTTGTCACATAATTCACTTGCATTATTCTCAAAAGTGGAATAAGTGTAATGTCTCGTAGGATTATCCACCTTCAACATTCGATAAGAAACACCGAATTTGTTTTTTGTTGTTCTATTTTCTGCACTCTTCAAATAGAAAGTGCTTATAGCAACTCTGATAAATTGATAATCTACTGGTAAACATTCCTCTCTGTTTATTTTTATGATAAGTTTTTATATATTAAAAAAAAAATTGTTTGAGTTTTATTTTTACGTTATAAATATAATAGGCTCTCTTAAAATTATATTTATTTACATTTATTTGTTATTATAAAGTTATAATTTTCATGAAGAAAACAAAAAACAAAAAGAACTCTACGAATTCTTACTGTTATAAGCAAAAAGAATTGTTTCACCATAGAATTAATCAGAGTAAATATTCTTAAATTCTCTCAGTTTTAATTAAATATAGATGCAAATTCCTGATAGGAGTGTTTAAACTCTTGTTCGGGAACTTTACTAATAGTGCCTTAAGAAATATTTGATGTCAATGCAGATTTTTCTGTGGAAACGAATCATACCAATAGTCAAGTTTCATTTGTTTATAGTCAACAGCACATCTCGATTAGTTTGCATAAATAATGAAACTATTTTCAATTTTGTTGATATTATACATCTGCAATATATATTTTACAGTTATTTTAGCCAAGATGAAACTTTTTTAATTATATAAATTATTTTTGTTTCGGTTCAAGGTTAAGATATTTAAGTTCTAATCGATCAATAACAAGGAATTCAATAGAAGATAAAAAAAATGTCAAACTAAAACAAGAGATGGTAAATCATTTCCTGTAAAACGTGACAAAGAAAATCACCAAAATAACTTACAAGTAACTCTGTGGGATCTAGATAAGGGCCGTATTTAAGATAGAAAAAGAACAACTATCCTGAAGGGAAAACAAGTCTTTTCTTCTTTAGCGAATGAATGCAATATTATTGAAGATATCGATTGCTTGAAACGTCGATAACTTAGAAGTTGACTTTACAAAAATTTTATATAAAAATATATTTTATCATTTTGTTACTAATTGGATTGATATGAAAAAAGAAAACTTTTTTTTTTAGTTTTTGAATATTTATAACATGCTATAATCATTTATTTTTTAATTTATTTAAAAATATAAGCTTCTGCTTCTTTTTTGTAACAAATTAAAAATTATTTCAAAGAAAATTTTGTGAAATTTTACAAATATCCAGTTGGGGATATTATATTCTTATCATTTCATGCACTGCTGATTTAATTGCTTTGCTTATTTTCTCTACCTAATTAGGATGTTTGAGTACAACAATTACAGATTTTTATTGATTAAAATTATATCAAAATTTTGTTAAAAGAATATCCGTTTTTTAACGCTATTTTTGTATTGAAAAATAACTTAATAATGCATTTCACGAAAATTATATAGAAAATATCATACTTTCTATAATTATTGGTAGGTATTTTACTAAATTTATCTCACGTAGTAGACTTGTAGATGCACAAAATGGCTACCAGATCCATTTCAGATACCATTTGAACACTGAAAATAGCCATGTTTTATTCATATATTTCTTAAAATAATTTTTTTTAAAAATTAATAATCTTCAACTTTTAAAATATTTATTTTATAGTTTTAAGAAATAATTTCTTTTTTTAGTTTTAGTAATAAATATAAATAAATAGATTTGCACAAATCGCTAGCATGAAGTAGTTATTTAAAAGTAATAAAGCTGATATTAATAAGCATGATTCACTTTAAATTAGATATTAAATAATGCATCATTATAATGTTATGTCAGTATATGTGAAAATTGGCAGTTAATTAAATAACTTATATTTTCTTAAAAATATTTTGTGTATTAAATATTTTTCTTAAAATATTTCTTAAATATACATTTTTAAATGTTTATAAAATTTAATTTTAAAATATAAAAAAAAATATTTAAATGTAAATTATGCATGTTTTATGATATATAGTGCACATTTTTTAAATTAGCCAATTTTGCACACCCTTTGTTGTAAATTTGTGTTGTAAATTTAATCCTTGAGTGGCGATAACGTGCTTTCAGTGGGATAAATATTAAAATTAGCACCATGCTGTTTTTGTTTTGTGGCACATTGTTTGCTATTTTGAATTGTTTTAATTAGCATGTCATCCCCATCACTGTAATTCTTTAAAAATTGAAGATTATAATTTAATTATATTATGGGATGTTTTTACGCTCTATCTTTTAATAATTATACTGTATATATATTACTGTATATAGTATATGCACATACATCTACGTAACCGCCACTCAGGGTAGAGCAAAAAATCACAGTAATATACAGCCGAGGCTAATTTTTGACCAGTTTTGAGCCGTCTCCATCTCTCCCTATTTCCAGATGCACAACTTGGCCTCCTTAACCCAGACAACAGGACCATTCAGCTATTTGTTTGATTATTGTGGGGAAGCGTGTGCCTTGAAGGTGGGTGCTTGGGGATTTATTTAGTTAGATTACTTCGTCGGAGAATAAAAAATTGGATAATATTTTTATTGGGTCTTTTTTCTTCTCATTTTACTCAATGTCTTTCTTGTTCTCTCTGTCTTTTTTCATTCATTTTTTGTCTTGTTAATTTTTCACCAAACTAATATGGTGAAAGATTTTATTTATTAATAAAATTTCTTAAAAAATGGCATGTCTAATATAATTTTAGTGCCAATTGGCATCATTTACATTCTTTCTTTTTTAACTAAAATTAATTATTTATTNATATATATATATTTCATTTATTATTATTTTCTTTTAATCATACTTCATTCATTTTTGCTTGATGAATTGAATAATATAGCACGACTTCATAATTTATTCATTATATTTCTCTTCTCAATTTTAACATTTATAAAAGCACGTATATAAAGCCTGAATTCTTTATAAAAAAATAAAATAAAATAAAATTGACGGTTTTTATCTCAATTGTATATTTTTTGATATGTTTGTTAGTATATGGGAAAATTTCCCATGGTAGTATGCTTTTCATGTTTGTTATACTTTATCAAGATGAAAGATACAAAATCATATATAAATATTTATATATATTTATAATATGTGTATATACAGATGCTATGAATATTCTTTTTAACTCCTAGATGTTTATACGTATGAAAAAAATCTTGTATAAGATAACTTTGGATAATTTACAGGAATTTCAGAATATTTATCATTACATTTATTCACCTACACTCTTAGGATTTGTGTACAAGATAATATTATAACTTATGCCATAAACCAGAAATGCTCCAACTTACACAATAATTATGACATTTAGAATTATGGCGTAGATTTTTTTGCTATAAAAGTTTACAGAACACTATCCAAAGAATGTCTCATAATCTTATTTTAAAAAATTACTGTTACTATTTGTGTAGCCACTTCAGTTTTATCAAAATAAACAGCCATAATTTGGAATCCTTTTCATTTTTAATAAGCACAGGATGTTGAACAAATAATTAATGTTGAAAGATTTTATGTATTTTCTCAAAATTCACAAAAACATATTTCCAAGTAAAATATATCATTTAGAATTAGAAGCATTATATTTACTTAAACAAAATAATAATATAAACTGACTAAATACTATACAGTATTTGTCAATACAATTGTATAGGGTTACTGCTATAGATATAAAAATTGTTTTGTATTTATAATCAACTTAACAAACACTCTTATTCAGTATTTTAAAATATTATACACACATTTTCAACAGAAAAATGTAGATAATACAGTTTATGTAGACATAATGCAATATTAGCTAATTGTAAACATTTAGCAATTAAAATTGTTTTAGATGTACAGTACATTATTTATACATTTTTAAATGCAAGAACATTTTTTAAAAAATTACATCTTATCACTTTCCTCTTTATTATGATGAATTTAAATATATTCTATGCAATGTTATAAATGAATAGATATGCATGAATAGCTTCTATTATTGTCCAAATTTTAATTTAATAATTAGTTTGAAGTTATTTTTTAATAATTTACTTGGAAATTTTATGGGTTTCTCTATTTTATAAGTATATATAAAATAGAATTTTAAAAAATATATTTTTTTCTTTAATTTCAGCATTTATTAAATTTAGAAGCCAATGAAAGGCTTCTAAATGAAACTAATTAAATTCTGTAAATGCTTTGTTAAACTTTTTACATGTTGAACTTTTGATTAATAATGCAGCTTAATTGTGCTTGCATTTTTAAAATCAATAACTGATACTTAAATTTTTCTATACTAAAGAAGAGAAAATTCCTNTTATGACATTTAGAATTATGGCGTAGATTTTTTTGCTATAAAAGTTTACAGAACACTATCCAAAGAATGTCTCATAATCTTATTTTAAAAAATTACTGTTACTATTTGTGTAGCCACTTCAGTTTTATCAAAATAAACAGCCATAATTTGGAATCCTTTTCATTTTTAATAAGCACAGGATGTTGAACAAATAATTAATGTTGAAAGATTTTATGTATTTTCTCAAAATTCACAAAAACATATTTCCAAGTAAAATATATCATTTAGAATTAGAAGCATTATATTTACTTAAACAAAATAATAATATAAACTGACTAAATACTATACAGTATTTGTCAATACAATTGTATAGGGTTACTGCTATAGATATAAAAATTGTTTTGTATTTATAATCAACTTAACAAACACTCTTATTCAGTATTTTAAAATATTATACACACATTTTCAACAGAAAAATGTAGATAATACAGTTTATGTAGACATAATGCAATATTAGCTAATTGTAAACATTTAGCAATTAAAATTGTTTTAGATGTACAGTACATTATTTATACATTTTTAAATGCAAGAATATTTTTTAAAAAATTACATCTTATCACTTTCCTCTTTATTATGATGAATTTAAATATATTCTATGCAATGTTATAAATGAATAGATATGCATGAATAGTTTCTATTATTGTCCAAATTTTAATTTAATAATTATTTTGAAGTTATTTTTTAATAATTTACTTTGAAATTTTATGGGTTTCTCTATTTTATAAAGTATATATAAAATAGAATTTTAAAAAATATATATATTTTTTCTTTAATTTCAGCATTTATTAAATTTAGAAGCCAATGAAAGGCTTCTAAATGAAACTAATTAAATTCTGTAAATGCTTTGTTAAACTTTTTACATGTTGAACTTTTGATTAATAATGCAGCTTAATTGTGCTTGCATTTTTAAAATCAATAACTGATACTTAAATTTTTCTATACTAAAGAAGAGAAAATTCCTCCCAAACATTTTGAAAAATATTGACAGATACTTTTATTTAATTTTAAAATATTTAAATTAAATGAAAACTTCGATAAATAAATATTTATATAATTAAAATTTATTACAATAAAATAAGAAATTTTATGCTTAGAGCAATTCAGATTGATATTAAAACAGAAAATTTCAAAGTTGAATGAATAGCAAGAATACGTTACATCATTAAAATATATCATACATTTAGATAAAATTACTAACGCAATTAATGCTTATAAAAATGAAAAAACTGAAGAAATATTTTCCATTCTAAATAAAATGATATAGTTTCAACCAAACACTCCAGCTTAAAATTAATACTGAAATTTAACAGTTCGAAAATATCATTTCATTATTATAAAATTATTTGCTTAAAAATAAATTTAATATAGTAAATAGGGAAAAAATGTAATAGACAGCACTTATTTCTTTATTAGGGATTATATTTTAATATTTTTAAGCTAGAAAGAAATCTTAATAATATGCTGCATCATATTAAATATGTTACTTCATTGTCATTACCATACAGTAGGAACATATTACAAAGTAAAATATAAGAAAAATACATAATTTAGAATAAAACACTTAATTAAAAACACATTTGTAAATAAATAAATATGATTTATTCATGCTTTTATTCTGGCAACATAAACACTTTCATTTCTTTGAGTAAATAATATTTTGTTATTTTATTGTAAATTAAATATTATTTATTCATTATATCTATATTTTAATATTATTAAATTCATATAAGATATAAAACGATCAAAAATATTCTGAAATAAGTGAGAAATCTGAAAATCTTTGCATTATATTCATACACATAAATCTATAAAAATGGGTGCAGAATCGATTTTAAACATGCAGAATATAGGTTAGATATTTATATACCATATTGCATTTTATGAAAATTGAATGTTAAATATTAGAAATGTCCTTTCAGCATTTGGCGTCTAAATTTTCTCTTTTCCTATTCCAAAAACACAAATGAAATATATCGAATTTTCTTTGTCATCATTTTCTATTTTTTGAACAAAGTATTAAAGTAGAACCGACGAAAACGAATAGAATATTAACTTTCCACCTTTGAGTATGATAATCTAGAATTAAAAGAAATATATTTACTTCTAGAATTAATTAGCTAGGAATAATTATTTTAAAAAATAAACTTCTTTCATTCGTCTACGAAATTAACATGCATTAGTGTTATTTACTAAATGAATCATCATCATAAAATTTTCATAAAGTTACTTAAACGTTATTTCTTTTTAATTAAATTTTTATTAATTTTTTTTAACATAATTTTTCTTATACTTTTTATTTGTTGACTTTATTCTTATAATTTTTTTTTATTTTTTTAAAAAGAAACTTATAAACTAAAAAAAATAAATTAAATATATCTAAAACCGATGTACTGCACAGAACTTTCTGAAATCATAGTATTTATATCTATTTTTTCTGCTTGAAAATAGTTTTAACCTATACTTAAATATAGAAAAAAGTAAGCTTAGGCATTATTTGTTTATTTTTAAAGCAAAAAGATTTTTTATTTTATTTGTCAAAACTTTTCGAAAAATCTTGAAATTGTTTTTTATTCATTTGATTAAAAAATAAATTAATAACGATTAATGCAAAAATTTAGCTTTTTAAAATATGTTTATAGAAAACATAAATGATTAAAGACATTACATGACATTTTCATGTTTTAATGCTTACAGAATAATAGTTTATTTAGTTAATTATTTCTTTTCTTTCATTTATTATTTTTATCACTCCATGATTTTGATCAGTTTCCTTTCTATATAAATTTTATTTAAATGTTTTCCTTCTTCAATAGGAAAGGAGCTAGGATATTGAGAATTTATTACTTTTCTTACAAGTTAGGGTCATGTAATAATGCATTGAGATTATTTACAATACATTAGATCGATATTTTTATTATTTTACACACAATATTTTTTGAATTAATCAACACTAGAATTAGTTTTTCTTCATAAAATCATTCCTCGACAAATAATGGAAGAGTTAATTATACATACCTATTGAAGATTTTAACTATAGGACGATAGAGCATAAAAAGAAATTTTCATTGTAAATACATTCATTAAACAAAGAACTAAAGATTAAATATGAAATTCCTCTAAATCTGAATGTCAAAAG